ACCATTTATACTACTGCTTTTATCACCTCCAATGGTCTGATCACGCTGGGCGGCACGGCTCCGAGCACAACAAGTTATAATGCGATAGCCACTACTACGGGTTCGGGAATAGCCATCTGTCCGTTTAATGCGGATCTGAATGGTGCAACCGGAACAGGGGTTACACCAGAGGTCCGCTTTGAGACTATCGGTACGGAACATGTATTTCAATGGACGGATGCACAACGGTATAATGCCGGAGAGCGCTTTAATATCCAGGCCAGATTAAATACTGCGACCGGAAGCATTCAATTTATTTATGGAGGTGTTCTGACAGCCGCCAGCAGCACTAGCTATCAACCGGTTGTGGGTATCCGCGCGTCGGCAACAGACTACAAGAACCTTACAGTGGGAACCGGTACAGAAACCTGGGCCGCTCCATTACCAGGTACGAGTACCGCCAGCGTTATGCGGTTTACCTCGGCTGCTCCTGCAAAAGCAGCTACACCGGGTCAGATATATACTTTTACACCAGCTACCTGCCTGCCACCGGTAAGCGGATTAGCTGCTACTGGTATTAATGCTACAACTGCTACTGTTAACTGGACCGCTGCATCTGTTAGCCCGGCGAATGGATACGAAATTTACTATAGTACTTCAGCAACAGTACCTACTTCAGCCACAACACCCAATGCTACCAGCACGGGTTTAAGCCAGGTATTATCACCCTTGGTACCCAGTACTCTTTATTATGCCTGGGTACGGGCTAGTTGTAGTAGTTCGGATAAGAGTGTGTGGACTGCATTGCCTGCATTCACTACTTTATGCCAAACTGCAAGTGTAACCGGTACTACGCCGGGGGCACGTTGCGGTACAGGTACGGTGGTGCTGGGCGCCAGCAGTACTTCCGGTACGCTGAGCTGGTATGCTGCGGCTACTGGTGGTCCAAGCCTGGGCACGGGTTCTCCTTTTATTACTCCGGTTATCAGTACAAATACTAATTTCTATGTATCAGCAGAGCTTTATACTGCTGGGCGTACGACTATTGGTGCCGGTTCAGCTAATGGTAATGCCGTTGCTTACAATCCCCTGCAGGGCGGGTACGGAGGTATGAAAGGACAATACCTGTTTACAGCCAGCGAGCTGCAGCAGGCTGGTCTTTCTGCCGGAAATATCACGCAACTGGCACTTGATATCACTACTGCCGGTGCCGGGCTGGATACTTTTACGATTCAGATGGGAACGACAGCGCTAACCACTTTTGGTACGCCGGTTTCGATCATCGGTGGCCTTACAACTACTTATTCTATTGCCCGGTTTACGCCGGTATTGGGTGTCAATTCCTTTGTATTGTCCACCCCTTTTATATGGGATGGTACGTCCAATATCGTCATCTCAACAAGCTGGAGTAATCGGAACTCGTCCAATACTTCTTCCAGTGTCAAGTATGATGTTACGACAAATTATGCGTCACAGTCTTACCGGAAAGACAATGAAACCTCCGTTAATATGCTGGCTTTTTCCGGCGGCACGGGAAGTGGCACGAATACTTTCGACCGAACTCTGAACCGTCCAATGGTTATTTTTAACGGGCAGGTAGTTTGTGCCAGCCCACGTTCCCTGGTGGCGGCAACTGTCAACACCGCTCCGGCGTTTAGTATCACCGGTAACCAGACTGTTTGTAACAATGAGATCCGGCAGCTGACTGTTACGTCTACACTGGCCAACTATAATAATTATGTATGGACACCAGCCACCAACCTTTATACAGATGCTGCTGCTACCGTACCTTATGTTACAGGCGCCAATGCCAGCACCGTTTATTTCAGGTCTGCAACCGCGGCTACCACTACTTATACGGCGAATGCAAATAATACAACTACTTTTTGTGCGCAGGTGGCTACGGTTGATGTGTCCGTTTTGCCGACAACAGCTACCGCTACCGCTACGCCAGCCGCTGTATGTATATCTGGTGCCGTTGCATTTGCGCTGGACCCTGCCAGCGGATACGGTACTGGCAGTATTCAATGGCAGTCATCCACCAATAACAGCACATTTACAGATGTAACCGGTGCTGCCGGAAATACCTACACCACACCTGTTCTTACCAACACCGCCTACTACCGTGCAGTCATTAAAAACAGTGCGGGTGCTGTTTGCTTTAATTCAGTATCTGATACCGCGTTGATAAATAATCCTGCTATTGCAGGCACTACACCCGGCGCCCGTTGCGGACCCGGAACGGTTGATTTATCAGCTGCTGCTGCGGCCGGTGTTACGCTAAACTGGTATAGTGCTGCTTCCGGCGGGTCTCCTGTTGGTACAGGTACCACCTTTACTACACCGTCTATAAGTGCAACTACCAATTATTATGTAGAGCCTTCTATGGGTGGTGGTTCCGCTAATGTAGGGCCTGCGGTTAACGCAACGACTCTTTCTTATTATATCACGAATAGCTGGGGCATCACCTTCAACAGTACGGCGCCTACCACCATCCAATCGGTAGCTGTTTATCCTTCAGGTGCGGGTACGATGACGATTTCCGTACAAAGTGCAATGGGTACCGGTGCCACCATTTTTGGCACCTATACCGCCACCTTTACTGCCGCACAAGCCGGAACAAAAGTGGTTTTGCCCATCAATATTGCGATCCCTACTGCAGGTACCGGTTATAAAATGGTGGTTCAATCCAGTTCAGGGTTTACCGGTGTGCACAGAGAGACTTCACCCGCTCCCGGATTCCCTTATACGACCGCAGGATCGCCTGTTACACTTACATCCAGTGAGTGGGGTGGCACTACAACGGCCACTTA